GCTTTTCCAGGCTCGAGGCCCCCCTGGGAAAACACCGGCTCTTCGTTTTCGTTTTTTTTTTTTTTTTGACAGGGAGATGAAAGAGCAGCTCTTCTCGCTGTTGTGGTCTTTTCTGAATTCTTCTCCACTGCATGTTTTTCACGCCTTGGATTCCCATTTGAGAAATGTGGGTCTGCCATGTGAAGTGTGTTCGTGGGGCACCCCGCAGGGGAGTCGCTGCTGTAGAGCAGCGGTTCCGAACTCTGATAGATTGCGCACCACCAAGTTAAAATGATACAACCTTAAGTATCGCCAACGAATTTTTGTCATCTAAAGCAATTATGATGCATCTGTTAACGCGTACCACTGACAGGTTGTCTGTGTACCGCTGGTGGTACCTGTACCGCAGATTGGGAACTGCTGGTCTAGAGAGGTCTGGTTCAGTGCTCCCCTCTGTAGCAGACACCCTTGCCCCTGTCGTGTTGGGGACAGGCCTGGTTGTTACTGCCAAGGGGTCATGGGCTGTTGCCCACCAAGAGGAGCTATAAGGCTGTCAGGTGCAGGGTCCTGGCCAGGACGGACCATGGGTCTGCCCTGGGGTGGCACTAGTTGTGTTCTTAAGTTGTAAGGGGGTAAGCACTGCAGCGCAGACATTGGTTTTTGCAATAGAGTGCCGCTCCATTCACAGCAGTTACAAAGGGGTGCCTCAAGTGGAGCAGGGTTGAGAACTGCTGTTATAGTAAGTGATGATTAGGGACCTACCTAATTCATGGCAGCTGCCTCCAGATCTTGTGGTCCCAGTGCAGCGCCAGTTGGCATTTTCACAGCAGTGTGTGGCAGCCCCTCCCCTCCTCTCCCCTCCCCCATCTCTGATTAGCTAGGGGCCTTGGGTATCCCGCCCCTTCCTGGAGATTGAAAGTTGGATGTGTCCCTCTGGGGAGGGGAGTGATTTCTGGGGCCCCTCAGCTAATGGGAGGCATGGCGGGGAGGGGGATGCCATGCTCTGCTACAAAAGTCTTCCTGTTCCCTTTCTCTCCTCTCCTTCCCCTCCCCCATGCTTCAGGACACCAGGGCTTTCCCGCCTCTGTTTGCAGCGCTTCCCCCTACTTGCTGGCCAGTTACCTGCTTTTTCACTGGGACCTGGCTTTTTTACTGGCAGCTTCCCAAATTCATGGTTTCCATGAAAATCGGAAAATCGTGAATTTGGTAGGTCTCTAATTATGATTATTTGGTGCCTTTTTGTTGCTTAAAGGGATCTGGTCATCTTAAACTTGACTAATTCTTTTTCCTTGTCCTTGTTAGACTCGAAGGCATCTCTTAGAAAATGCCAGCTTTTAATTTTCATTTGTTTTTTGACTATGGAAAAATAATGGAACATTTTTTCTGTTGCAGAGAACTCAGAAAGACCGCCACAAATCAGAATATTTTTAACGCTATGGATTCCTATTTGAAATCTTGGGGTTTATCTTGTGAATCATGTTTGTACACCTGACAGTGATAACAGGACCCAGGTTGAGAATTACTGGTCTACACTGAGAGAAATGCAGGAAATTTAAGTATTGAAAGTACCGAGTCAGCTAGATTTTTTTTCAACAAGTTTTGCATTTATGGTGACGTAGAGTATTGTTCTTCATCTAGAAAAAAGGAAGTTTGCCACATCTATTGTTGTTGACCATTTGTTGAAATGACAGTGACAGCTATACTGGAAGTTAGGCAGAGTCTTTATATTTTGTCATCACTTGTAACTCTTGTCCACATGGAGCCTGACTGACACTGGTGAAGCTTTGTCTGTAGATGGGTACATGGCTAGGTACATGGCTCAAGTTGCAGGATTGGCACCATGTTAAAATTTTCTGCAAGAATGATATTTGTGTCTAGGGTTACAGCATCCCTTTCTCTTCCAGACTCCTCCCTTCTCCCCTCCTGACAGTTTGCTGGTTACCTGATAAGTAGGAGAGGAGGAAGAGGAGGAAATAAGACTATCAGTGCTTCTGAAACCAACTTATTCAAAATATTTCTATGTACCTTTCAACACTTAATATATATTAAGCCATGGGTATTATGTAAGCATATAATAGGCTTTCTTTCAAAGCCAATTAGACCATAATGGACAGTAGTAGTACAGGAAGTGTCATTCTCTTTTTTTTTTATCAACTTTTTAAGATGGAATAATTAATTGTACATAAGTTCAATTGAATTGGGCTCCACAATTCAAAAAGGATGTGGAGAAGCTTGAGAGAGTCCAGAGAAGAGCCACGCGCATGATCAGAGGTCAGGGAAGCAGACCCTACGATGACAGGCTGAGAGCCCTGGGGCTCTTTAGCCTGGAAAAGCGCAGGCTCAGGGGTGATCTGATGGCCACCTACAAGTTTATCAGGGGTGACCACCAGCATCTGGGGGAACGTTTGTTCACCAGAGCGCCCCAAGGGATGACGAGGTCGAATGGTCACAAACTACTTCAAGATCGTTTCAGGCTGGACATAAGGAAGAACTTCTTTACTGTCCGAGCCCCCAAGGTCTGGAACAGCCTGCCACCGGAGGTGGTTCAAGCGCCTTCATTGAACACCTTCAGGATGAAACTGGATGCTTATCTTGCTGGGATCCTATGACCCCAGCTGACTTCCTGCCCTATGGGCGGGGGGCTGGACTAGATGATCTTCCAAGGTCCCTTCCAGCCCTGATGTCTATGAAAAGTTGCTTAGCACAGTAAACATAAAATAATTGCAATAGATTATTTTCTCTGTTCTTTGGAGGGATCTGCTTTGACATAGCAGGGCACTTAAAAATACTGCTACCTATAAAATAGGCTTACTGTCTTTTTCCATTCTAGAAATGAAGCTGAGGTGGGGTTGTGGCATTGTTCTGTCAACTTTATGATTAAACTTTACTTGCTTATGTTGCAATTTGGCAACAGACTTTTAGAGCACATGGGTTAGAATCTGAAAAGATGAACAACTTTCTCTTTGTTAACCATTCATAGGTGAATAAACTACCTGATAATGAGCACCCTTAGTTTGAGCAGTTTACATTTAGAAGCATTCAGTGTTTTCAAATATTCAGTACAGTTGTCTACTGTAATAATGAATCTTGCTTACTGATCTTCTAGATGAATTTCTTATGACACTATTAAAGAGCTCCTTTCAGCAGTGATAGATTGTATCCTTACCAAATACTTTACTGGAAAACATTGTCGTATCATAGTTATTAGGTATAATAGCTGCACTCTGAATTTGGACCATTTAGGGTGACTCCAGTTTTATTGCCTTAAGATTGGTTTGAGTCGCTAGATTTTTGGAGACTTCTCAAATATATGTCAGTGTTAGTGTCTTTTCAGTAAGTTTTGAAATATGCCTCTTAAGTTTCCCCTTATGGGCCAATTACTTCAGATATTTTTGGTTTAATGCTATATGGCCCTTCAATTTTGTTTCTCAGAGCTCTCATTTCTTAGTAGGGTTCTGATATATGAAGACTTGTAATGTCGCCTTTCTTTCTTTACAGTATTCAGATGTTTTGTATTCTGCACCTGCATCTTCCTTTGTGGAAACGGACCCTGTCAAATGAAAGAATTTCTCCTGTCAGTACATGGTTCCCATTCATTTGTGTGTGTATGTATATGCACATGCACACGCTCATTTTTCTTCTTAAAATATACATTGGTATTAGTATATTCTACTTGCAAAAGAAATTGTTATATTGTGTTTAGTACATCCATTGCTTTCGTTCACCATGGTTACTAAACTAATTCCAGTCTTTCTTTGCTATCTGATGTTTCATATATTGCTGGTGGCATTCTGTGGATTTGTTCTTGTTTCTCTGCATGCCACAAGCATTCCGTATATTTCCAGAGCCTTTATAACTAGAAATTGTCCATGACCCTTGGCCATGTTTTAATTTATCTCAGAATACTTTTTCTTTCACTTATCTGCTTTCTTCTTCTGTTACTTTGTGATTTATCATTTCCTTCATTCCTTGAAAACATGCTCTGCAGAACTTCAGTGACCTATTTTTTTCTCCTTTAGACATTTTAATTCTAATGACCAAATATTTCCTAGTGGGTTTTTGGGCATTAACTCAGATGTCCTCTTGCCTCTAGTCATGTTCTTATTACTCAAAATGGTGTGAAAAATGTTCAGTTGCTAGTTCTTCTTAAATATTGCAGAAGCTAATAAATCTGTATCCTATTATGGATACTTAGTTAACATACTTACCAGCCTTAGTTAAAGGAGTGGAAATGTACATTTACTATTAGTTTAGATCCTTTGAACCCAAGTGTGGCATTACTAATTTGAATTTTCCTGCAGCGCCTAGATGCAAGTCTATTCTGTTATTTCTTCATTTCTTATTTGGTTTTTGTGTCTTAGTTTCTTCTTCAAGTTGTCTAATCAAGAAATCATTAACAAACACAGGCTGGGAATACCACATAAATGCTACATGTACAGTAGCATTGCAGCATCCAGTGCTGTGACACCTTTTTGTTCTGTATTATCTGAGGACTTGCTATTTACAAGGCACTATGGGACTGTCGCAACCAAACATCACAAAGCAGTAGAATAAAAAGGCAGAGTGGTGCTGTTTGAATGAATGAGTGCATGTACAGGATGTGCATGTAATTAGAGAGTTGTCATTAAAGTTAATTACATGTGCTTCAAAGTGAGGTCTTGAGTTAGAGAAGTGATGGAAATATAACTAATTCATTGTACATAATAGGAATATTATCATATTTGGCCATCCCCAGAGAGTGTTAATCTAAGTATGTAGGTGAGATGGCTATAGTCCTTCAGGCCATTAATATTTGACATGTGCAGAGATTCTTAGGAATCATTGCTTCTTCCACTGACCTAAAGTGATGTACAGAAATAAGTGTAGGATCATAGGAAAGTAAAGCTGGAAGGGACCTTATGAGGTCATCTAGTCCAGCATTTCTCAACCAGTGGGTTGTGACCCAAAAGTGTGTTGCAAGAATATGTGAAAGGGTTACAAACAAACTTTATAAATGGATCAACAAACTTTAAAAATTGATTCTCTTTTAAAGGAGAACAATATGGGAAACGGTTGGTTTTCCTTTGCAGGCCGGCAAAGCTCCAGCCTGCAAGGGGCTGCTTGGGATCCCTCCATGTCTCTCCCTGCCCCCCACACTGGGAGGCTGGGGCCTAGGGGAAGAGGGCAGCAGGTCAGGAGTGATGAGGG